ATTACAACTATTTTTGATTTACGTGTATTTTTTTATGAGAGAAAATATTATAACGAATTATAAACTATAATTTGAATTAAAGAACGAATTCTCCAACCAAACCGACTCCGATTCTATCGGAAAGATAACAACTCACTTCTCTCACATTGTCAGAGATTCAACGTTGCACTGCTTATTGATTAGGTTGATTGGGCAAGACCTCTAATTTAAGGTTATCAAATATAAAACCTAATGCATCTCAAAAAAAAAACACACACACACACACACGCACACACACAAAGTTATTGCTTTACCGTCCTATGGTAAATTAATCCGAATCTTCATACTATATGGCCCGTTGGTAATTGCAATGCAAGAGACAACCAGAGTATTGTCGTACGGAATCCTGCCCAAAAAACACAGTGATCATCTCAATTACAGGCTGAAATGACCTCTCCTTTCCAAACCTTTTTTTTTTTCTCTCTCTTTTTTTTCTTGTATTTAGTGTCGATTAGACCTCTTCTTTTGTTTCCATCTGGGCCTTTGGCTATGCCAGCACTGTATTCTTTTCAGAGAGAGGGGAAAAAAAAAAAACTGACAGCCTTTTTCCCCTGTGGGTGACCTCACGTTATCCTTTCACAGTCCCCACCAATGGGGTCTTGCCACGTTTCAACAGTAACATTAACCCCCAAAAATATCATATCCAAATTCATTTGACCACACTTAAATACTAAAAAAAAAAAAAAAAAAAAAAAGGGTCCAAAAACCATAACTCAACTCACCTCCTGTAACAATTGCATTGGTGTGTACGAAGCAAGGCTATTTGGTGGCACTTTAGTAGGGAAATGAAATCTAGTGGAATGTCAGAAAGTTTTCAGCTGCATGGATAAACTAACCAAACAAAGAACAACTAAATGCTAGCAGATAAAGACACAGAAAAGAATCCAAAGGCTTAAGCCATTATATTTCCTCCCACATACCATCTCTCTTTCTCTCTCTCTCTCTCTCTGTGCCACTGCCATGTACAGTAAACTGTGTACCATTTTCCTTTTTTTACGTATTTTTCCTTTTTAGCACAAGCCATTAATTATTTTTCCTAAAACGCAAAATTTAACTAAATAAAAACGGAAAGGGAAAAGTGACCACATGAAAATAGCGATAGAGAAAATCCAAAAGTAGAAAATTCGGTACTTGAAATTCTGTACATGTAGTAATAAGTAGTAATAGTAGTAGATAAGGGAAAATTAAAAAGGGTGACAAAATTTCCCGGCAAGGATTTGAATATTTTTCCTTTGTACAAAGAGAACGTAATATGGATTGATGCCCTTTGCCGGTAATGTGTTTTTTTTTTTTTTTTTTTTCTTTTTCCTTTTCAATTGTGGAAAAGAAACCACAATCAACAGCTTAATGCTTCGTACTTCATCGGAATCGGACGGTTAAACCCAACCTGGGAAAGCAGATTCCCAACCACCGTGAGGTCTCGGCAGAACACACCCTGGAAAACATTATTAGACGGTGTCGTTTTAACGCTCGAGACTTCGGGTTTCGGTTTCGGTTTCAATTCCGATTTCTGTTTCGATTCCGATTCCGGTGTTTGCTGAATCTGAATCGCCGCCTGAGCAGCCTGAAGCGCCGCCGCAGCCTTCTTTCTTTGCTTCTCGGCGGCTTCCTCCTCCATGATCGTCGACATCACGCTAGAGTAGCCTTTCTGGATCAACCTGTAGAGCAACAGAGCGGACATCTTCGCTCGGTCTCTGATCGAATCGAGATCGCGATCGTCTGCGAGCTCGCACCGCTCGATGAAGCTCGTGGACTTGTCAGGCTTGTGCCGAAGACAGAGCAAGAGATGCGCTCTCTCCAATTCCGATCTCGAACAGCCTCGCCTCAATCCGATCAAGGAATAGTAATCCACATTGTTCCCGTTCTCTCCCGATGCGACTCTCTGTTTCAGTTCTTGGATTTTGGTTGTGAGAGCGCACAATTTTCCAGGAATCTCTCTGTACCTCACGTTGTGGCGCTTCCAGGCAGGTCCTGGAAGCTTCCGATCGCGGAGGATGGTGTTGTAGAGGAGTTTCAGGTGCTCGAGATCGTGTAGGCTATCAGGGAGGCACCGCACGGTTTCGAAGAGGGAGGCTCTGGTGTCTAGAGCATGGATGCAGCTCGGATCGAGTGCTAGAGTGCGGTTACAGTCGGCAAGGGACTCAGCGATCCTGCCGGCGGATTTGAAGGCAGCGGCGCGGTGCATGTAGCACTCGGCGAGGAAGCCTTGTGGAGCGGCGCGGCGGCCGTCGACGATCTTGCTGAAGTGGCGAATGGCCTCGGAGTAGAGGCCAGCATCGAGTGCAGCGATCGCGGCGGTGCGGCGGCGGAGGAGGAGCTTGATGTGGGCGAGGAGCTGGCTGACGTTCTCTGATTCGGAGAGGAGAGGCCCCGACCCTCGCGGCGGCGAGGGGGCGTTGGGGGCGAAGATTTCGTGGAAGTTGGAGAGTGAGAAGCTGTCGTCTGACCAGCATATGCTTTCGCGGCGGAAGGCGGCACTGGCGAGGCGTTTTCCGGTCTGGAGGAGCGCCATGGCGTCCTCCATTAGACCTAGATGGCAACATGCTTGGCCCAATACCACATATCTGTGTCAATTGGTCAAAAAATTGAGTTAGATTATTCATGTAGTGTACTCTGAGCCTCAATATTCCAATAGAAGATAGAACAAAAACAACACGTGAACTTAAGACGTATCAATAAAAACTGCCTATTGCTAGCAATGCCAACAAGTTTTTCATGATTTACACACACAAAGATGAGCATTACCACAATTTACACAGTTTTTCAAGATTTACGGTCTATGTATTTAACATCAGTGTTTACTTTTTTTTTTTTTTAAGTGCACTCACAGGACGTTTTTCTTAAGAGTCAAAATTTGAGAATTCCAAAAATGGGTGGCCGTGGCCGTGGCAGTGTCAGTGCATTTACTCGGCCGCTCGATTGTAATGCAATAAAAACACGTTCCTCTCTGATCTCAAACGACATTAAATAAGAAAAAAGTCATAAAAAGCAGAACCTAAACCAAACAAATCTCAAGAGAAACGTAAAAGCAAAAGTATAAGAAAACCAATGGAACAGAGCAAAAATGAATTTCATTATTAATTTTTTATTACCTCCATTGCCCTTCCTTGTCGCCGTTTTTACAGAGCCCAGCCATGACCTTCTTCTTCAAGTCGGAGACGGAGAAGCACTTGAACGAAGGGTAATCGCGACCGTCCGAGTCCTCCGACGAGTTGCTGCTCGTCGAGAGGAGCTTGACTCGCTCCCTCGAGAGCTGCTGAGACGAATTCTCTGACCCGGCCGAGTCGTCGCTCGCCATTTTCAGGCTCGGAATGTAGTCCTGAAGCATATCGGCGACGTCCTTGAACCGCCGGAGATACAAGAGCGACTTGGCCTTCAGCTCCAGCGCTTGCTCCAGCCGAGGAGAGAGGGCCAGAGCCGCTTCTAGAAGGTTCAGAGCCGAAGCGACCTCGCTCTGTTCTTGCGTCGCGATGAGATTCCGTGCGTCTTTTATGTACTTATCTACAATCTTGAAATTCAAAAACAAAAAAAAAAATGCTCACAAAAAATCGCCAGGTTTTTGGTTGATCAAAACATGGAAATAGAAATAAAGAAAAATCAAATGATTTCTTACCTTTCTGTTGCTAAGCCACCAGTGCTTCTTCTCATTGGAAGAAAGACAAGGAGAAGTCACAGCCATTGTGTTTGTCTCTCTCGTTATCTGCTTCTTTTCCCAGAAGAAATAAATTCTCCGAATATCAAATATCGTTAACCTTTTCTCTCTTTCTGAGTTTTTCTTTTATATAGGAGAGTGATGGTTTTTGTCTCTCCCTCTCTCTCTCTCTCTTCTTTGTCCAAATCACGGATATTTCTGTGCTGAAATAACGGGAGAGAAAATGTATAGAGGGAAAGAAGAAAAATCATAGAGAGAAAGAGAGAGAGGGAAGGAAATTGTGGGTTATTAATCTGTCTAAGATTTTCAAGTGTAAATAGGGGAAGGTGGTGGAGAGAAACACAATGCCCTAAAATAAATAAATAAATAATAAAAGGAAAAGACATTTAAAAAAAAAAAAAAGGAAAATTGCCAGCTTTGACCTCAGAGAAAGCTTTGATCCTTCAACTTCATAGCTGGCACCACAACGTAGTAGATTCTCTCTCTATGTCTCTCTCTAACCTCTTTTCTTTTTTTTCTTTTTTTTTCCTCCCTCTATTTCAAGCTATGTGGGTGTGGCCTATGTTTTTTTTTTTTTTTTTCCTCCCTCTATTTCAAGCTATGTGGGTGTGGCCTACGAGACTACTAGTGAGGAGAAAAATAAATAAAAATTAGAGAATGAAATAAATAGAGCCTTTGTATTTGACTGGGTGCAGCCGGTGAAATGCATGATTGTGACCGGATATAGCCGGTGGATCATCACGGGTCCTCGGGTTCAACTACCGGCGGAAGAGATAAGAGAACCTTGAAAAAGAAAAAACAATTGTTATATTAATTTCTGATCCCAGTGAAATTACTATTTGTACCCCCGTGGACCGTAAAGGAAAGAAAAAGGAAGGAAACGATCAGAATCTTTTTTTTTACTCGCCATCTACTACTACTAAAATCATTGAACCTAGAAAAGGGCCCAAAAATCTGATCACGGTGAGATAGTATTAACCCAAAAGGGGGCTTTTCTTTTCCCCTATATTTTTATCTACCCGATTTTGATCATTGATTGGGTTAGATTTCTCACAATTAGTGGCTTAAATATCGGCTATCCACAGCGTTTCATTATTGTTTCTTATTCACTCATGCGGTGAATAACTTGCGTTTGTTCAATGAAATTGTTCTCTCTTTCTTTCTTTCTTTTTTTTTTTTTTTTTGTATGTAAAATTCTTTGATTTCCACAGTTTGGAATATCACTCGTGGTTGACGTTAATGTTTACATAAATGGCGTGATCTGAATACTTAAAAGTTGTTTAGTTGAGAGATTCGTATTCTGATTCGAATTATAATTTATGATTCGCTACAGTATTTTCTCTCACAAAAAATACACGTAAATCGAAAATAATTCTAATTTTATGATTCTAATCCATGAACTAAACGTCTCATTAATTTACTTCCTCTCTTTGAATCATTATACTCGGGGATGAACTTGGCATTATATGAACAATTAAAGAAATAGAGATCCTAATTTGCATGAATTTATGGACACATTTGATTTGATGGTAATGCGTGTGTGTGCATGCTGTTTAATGTGTTTTATTGTCACATTGCTATGATGATCTTCTTTCCATAAAAAAAAAAAATTGAATTTCCATTAATGTTCTTATATTGTGGTTGTATTTTGTTTTTTTAATTATTGGATTGATATTTAACCTTTTTAGTTTAATGCTGTGTAAATGTACATATAACTATGATTAAGATTAGCCAAGAAAAAAAAAAAAGCGAAACATTGCATAATTATTAATTTGCAATATGAATATGATCATGATAAAATTAAAGGCAAGGCCAAGTTTTATTTGGTGGTCACAATCGACCATTGAGAGGGGGTGGTCAAGTAACTCAGTGGTGTCCCAAACGTTGGGGACGTAAAGTGTCAATTGGGAAAATAATGGGGGGAGGAATTAGTAAAAACACATACATATATATATATACATATACATGTAAAAATACATACATATATATATATATTATATAAGGGGAGAGAAAGTGACTATTCTCTCGTAAGCCACAAGAATCATGCTCTTTTCCTTTTGGGAGTTTGCTTTGCTTTTTATTTTCACCCACATTGATTAATGAATGCACATGAATATGGATAGATAGCCAGATGGGTTTGTCTTAAAGGCACTCAAGCTTTCCTTTTCCTTTGCCCCACAACACAAGGGGCTAAGGACACATCCCCAGTCCTTGATTAAGGAACAGTTCCTACAATCTCGTGCCCTATCACTACCCCACCACAATTTTCCCCTTGCCACGTCACCATATGACTTCGCCTGTCTGCTTTGCTGGGTCCCACGTGGCGGTCCAGATCAGCCAGAGTTTCTGGACAGCGCCCTCCCGCCTTTTGTTTTGTTTTCCCTGGGACCAGTTTTGAACGGCTATGGCTGGTTTAGTGTACTATCTATTTTTTTTGGGATCAAGGACAATGGCATCAAATGTTGCATATATAGGCTATATTTGGTAGTTTATCTTATATTGTATTTTCAAAATACAAATCGGTGTTTAGTGTTATAAAATGTTAAGAGTCTTCCCGTTTGGTAAAGAGATTCGTTCCCTGATTCGAATCATAATTCGTGATTCGTTACAGTATTGTCTCTCACAAAAAATACAGGTAAATCGAAAATAATTCTAATCACATGGTTCTAATCTATAAACCAAACGGAAAGTTAATAATATATTACAATGATAGGTGCCTTGTAACATTGAATTCAATTATATTTCTAAACCAACTCCGACTCTAGTCCAGGTCCTCGACCAAACCCGACCTATAGCTACGTCTCGTCCTCGATTCAACCCTGATTTCCATCCCAAACCAACCTTATACCCAAACTCAATCCCTAAGTCCTAACCCTAATCCAGATTTGAAGCCCCGCCCCCTAAAGTCAATATAAAATAATACAATGCATTACATCTAAAATAAATTATATTATATAATATAAATTTACCATCTGTATTAATTTATATATTGAAGTGACTATATTAAATATTGTATAATTTATTATGATATGAGATGATGCTCTAATATGTTCTACCAAACATGCGTACAACAATAAGAAAAAAAAATTGTGAAAAATATTATGTTAGTGATTATATTCAGATAAATTTGTTTAGAGTATATTCAGATAAATTATTCAATAGAGTGTCGTTTGAATTAATTGCTATATTTTGTTTATTCTAATGAAGTCGTTAATCATGTACAAGAATGTATAGATCCTGATTTCTGACACCAATTTTTCAACTTAAAAAACTTGAGCAACAAATATTAATAACTCAAACATAATTATCGGAGGAGGTTGGGACCGATTAGCATATTTATCTAACTTTATACTTCAGGTACTATTTAAAATAATAATAATAATAATAATAAAAAGTACTATTTCTATTCTTATAGTTTCCTGTCATCTGCTTGATATCTTAAGTTATTTCTCTCGACTAGGACAAGTACGTTCGATCTTTTGTTTGTAAAATTTAACTCAGAAGCGCAATGATTCTACATTGTCAGCACTATCATCTTATCCTTACAATTCGAGTTAATAATTTTGGATAAAAGAAGCGAAATTTCGAAGAAATAAGTTTTGTCTTGCATAAAAAAGTGCAGTCGAATCAAAAACCAATGCAAATAGAATTGACGTGTAATATTGTAGCGAGCAAATTGTTTATCAGAAGTTTTCGTTTCTTCATTTGACATGTAACTTTCATGTACCGGAAAAACTAAAGTTGACACGTAACTATACAATATCAAACATTAATGCTACCGTACCAAAAAAAAAAAACAAAAAAAAATGTGCATCCCAATTTGATCCATGGAGCAACTTTGAACAAACCACAAAGAATGGCGTTCATGTTTTGTTCAAAGAAATTATACCAGGGAGAATTATGTGATAATATGTCAAAAAAAAAAAAAAAAAAAAAAAAACAAAAACAGGGAAAAGTTATAATAATTCTCATGGTCTTATCAAATTTCATTAGTCTTTCATTTTTTTTTTAAATATACATGATTATAATGTGATCTAACATTATAACTGTATTTAATCAGTGGAATATTCTTTCATACATATTTGAAAAGTGGGCAGCCCAAATATGATGGAAGAGTAAATGAGTATGTACATATTTTCCCTTAAGGGAGGACCATGGTCCTACAAAATGTCAATTTATGTTATATCGGTCTTGTACCAAAGAAGAGAAAAAAAAAAATTATAGGCTAGGGACCATTGGAGCCATGAACAGGCCGGGGTCTACAAAGTACGAGTGTTGGTTTTTCTTCATAGCTGCAAACTTCGGTACAGCTCAGGAATCCAGGTTGTAAAAATTGGGAAATACTAATTTGATGATTGAAGGGCCGTTTTATAGGTAGAAGTAATCAATGGTTCAATACTTCGACAAGTATGGCTTCAAGGGTCCACTTTTTTTATTTATTTATTAAATTTATATGGAAGATTAAGGTCTTGTTCATTTCACCGATTAGAATTTTTAATTTTAAGCTTGTACAGTTAAAAATTTTCAAAAAATATCATATTTAATTTTTTCTACTATTGTTAAAAATTCTAAAAAAATATTACATTTCAGCTCGAATTAAAAATTTAAATCTGTAAATCGAACGAGGCTTAAAGGGTCCACTTGTTTTGTGTTAGAGACCCCTATGAGCGACATCTTATACATTTTGTCACGTACTTCTTAGGTGTCACCTTATACACAAAACTATTTTTTTTTCTCCATTATCGTCATCCACTAATCATTAACCATTCCAAACTAAATTCTATTTTATTTTTCGATATAAATTATTTTTTCCCCCTCATTCTGGGGCAAGATTCGTTGGTAGCACAGGGAGTACTGTTTCATAGTTTCTATCCTAGATGTCTTCCTGAATACCAAGCTTGTTTTTTCCTTTCTTTTCTTTTTATTTTTTTCTCTAAGCTTTTATTTTTTTTCCCCCCCTTATTTGTGTTGAATAAGGTTCACAAACTTGAATTACACTTTGAAAAACACAATACCCCATTTATAATCTGCATAAAACACATGTAGTGTCTCTCTAGTCTCACCTTCCTTCTGAAAATGAAATGACCATTTTTTTTTTCCCACAAAGGACCAATAAAATTGGCTTCTTTAGCCATCCCTTGCTTGCTACTATAATGACACTCATTATTGATTCAACAGTTTGATAGACTATAATTGGTGTCTTTTCCTTCACATTATTTTTGGATCTACCTCTCCTTTGTTGTTATTCCATGTCATTATTGGCAATTATTAATTTGCATCTAAGAGATGAATATTGGCATATTGATGCAACTGTTCTAACAACTAGCTTCCTATTTTTTTTCCCACAAAATTATATAAATGGGGTGTTCCTATTCAC